GAAAGGGAGTGGATACTGAGGGGAGGGAAGGAGGGGAGAAATAGGAGAGTAGAGGGAGGGAGGGGAAACTATATCAGGATGCATTGTATGAGGGAAAGTTATTCTAAAAAGCAGAGTATTTTAGAAAGGCTTTTAGTTTGGTTTTGGTTCACAGCTGGAAGGTTACAGTCCATCATGGTGGGAAAGTTGGAACCCTCCTGAGAGAACTTATGTAGGTAAAAGGAGAATACAGGGAGGCAATAAGCAAACGTAGAGGAAGACAGGAACGAATAAAGGAAGGGGGAAGTGCAATGCTTAGCACCCACTGTGAGGTGTTGGGAAGGGCAGAAACTAGAGGGAGGCAAGTGTATGTTAATACTTTGAAAGAGAGCTTTGAGATGAGAATCCAGAGAGAGGGAGTTGTATGTCAGTATGTTGAAACTTGAAAGTGAAGTGGAGGCCATTGCTACCTCATGGGTTCTATTTATTTATTTATTTATTTTACAGTGTTCTGTCTGCATGTATGCCTGCAGGCCAGAAAAGGGCACCGGATTTCATTACAGATGGTTGTGAGCCACCATGTGGCTTCTGGGAATTGAACTCAGGACCTCTGGAAGAACAATCAGTGCTCTTCACCTCTGAGGCATCTCTCCAGCCCCCACCCCATGGTTTCTTGGGCTGCATTCGGGGGGCTTGCTCTTGGTTTCTCTGGAAGGGGGTGTGAATTTGGCTCCTTGAAAGAAAAAGTTAAACATATGAGAAGGCTTGGATGCACAGCCTTAGGCTCTGAGCATGTTGCCATTGTCATTTTCATTTTAACTGCTTTCATTCCACATTTGGCAAAAGAACACCAGCACGCAGGGGTGGATGCGTGCAGAGTGGGCAGGCTCAGGCAGCTGCGTGGGCTTCAAGCTACAGCGTGACCCACCAGAGCCTGGCAGGGTGCAGCCAGTGCCATCTTGCCAAGCAGCTGCTGGGGGTGGGGGTGGGAGGTTGGCAAGGGAACGCCACCTCAGTTGCTACAGCGCCTACCTCAGGGTGTGAAGGCACACACTATTAACAGTCAGAGGGAGGGGAAATGCTGTGTGTCTGGTAACTGTGGCCTTGAATGTCATATGGTCAAGGGAGAAGCCTCCTGGGTGGATGTTTTTCCACTCAGTGACTTGGTCACATCCTTCCACACCTGTTTATACCAATGAGTCCTTCCACCTCTGGGGGTGCACTGCTCTAACCATCTGGAGTCCCAATCAGCTCCCTTTAACTCTTCCATGTGCTACAGCCCTGCAGTTTCGACAGGATAATTGGGAATTAATGGGGACCCATCTCCTAGGTGGGTAGAGCCTTGATATTATAGGCATGGCCAGTTATGTCATCATGTGGGCACATCCTGGGAAAGCAAAGGCTCGTGATCAGATTCTCCTGATCATACTGTGGAAAGGATCCTTGGCAAGCTTTGTCAGACTTCAAGGCTCCCATCCCTTAACCTGCTCAGACAATCCCTTTGTTTCTGATGGGCATAGTGGCTGTTATGACCCTCCTTCTTAGCCTTGCAGTCTGGTGTTAAGCATTGAACTACTCCTGGAATAAGCATGAAGACCATCCTGAAGGGACTTAGTATGACTGAGCCTGGCAAACATGGTTCTGGCAGGCCTGGCTGTTATGGTTTTTGTCTCTTTAAGAGACAAGCCACGCCCACTCCCAGCGGGGGCCCTGCCCTCCTCTTGCCATCTTGATTCTCACTGTCCCTTTTAGTGCATGCTCCCTCTCTTCGGCTCCCTTCTCTGTCTCTCTCCTTTCTCTTTTCCTTCTTCCCCCACTCTCTCTCCCTCTAAGTAATAAATATCCAATTCTATTCTTACGATGTGTCTGTCCATGTGCCTTCTACCCTCTGCCTGCTCATACCCCCAGGCTCGCTGGGACCAGCCTGCCTGGGACCAGCCACCACTCGGGAACTTGCAGCTGTCTCTGCCTGGAACTAGCTGCTATGTGGGCCTGCTGCATACTGCTGCTGGGGATCTTGCAGCATTTTTAACACTTGCCCCTTCCCCATTCCCTCTTACATGCTAACCTTTAGATTATATTCCTAAAGCTAGCCACCAAGGTCTATTCCCTTAGAACTACTTCTCCTTCTGAAGCTAACAAGGTTCATCAAAGTACTGAAATCCAGCAATCAAAAGCCCCCTTTTAGCTGCCCTAATTAACATGCCCAATCAAAACAAACCAACTTGGGGCTGAAGAGATAGCTCAGAAGTTAAGATCACTGGATGCTCTTCCAGAGGTCCTGGAGGGAGTTTCTGGCCTGTAGATGCTCCGCTGCTGAGACCACTTCTCTGAAGATTAGCAAACCTGCTTCATGGATTCAGCTGCACAGCATGAACCCCACCTGGTGTTTATCTATATGTGATTGCCGTGCCTCCTTGTCTGGCTGTGTACAGTAACCCCACCTCTCTATTCTGCCCTATAATAAACACCCTGAGCTTCCAGAGTGCTGTAGGCTTTCCATCCAAAAACCCAGACCGTCTGATCCCTGCGTTTCTGTTTGTCTGTTTTGTCTGTTTGTCTTTTTTCCATTCCCTGGCTGTTCCTATTTCAAGTCCATCCCTGGAGCTGTGTAAGGATGCAGCACACCAAGACTGTTAAAATTAAGGTATCACCAGACACAGAAATGATTAAGATGGCCAGTGGGTGGTGGCGCACACCTTTAATCCCAGCACTCGGGAAGCAGAGGCAGGCAGATCTCTATGAGTTTGAGGCCAGTCTGGTCTACAGAGCGAGTTCCAGGACAGCCATGATTTGTTATATAGAGAAACCTTGTCTCAGAAAACCAAAAAAAGAAAAGAAAAGAAAAGGTTCTGATGCTAAAAATTCCAAAAACCAAAGGGCCATGATGACTGTGTTCCTTGCCTGACTCTGAATGACCACAAGGTGTTTGAACACCTCCTAATTCTTTGTATGGCCCCAGGAATACCTATCATGCTGTGTTACAAACTAGTTGCAATGCCCATTGTCCTCCCTTGCTCAGTTGGAGAATACTCCCTTAAATTTCCATTGTAACACAAGGCGTAGGCCACAGAAACATATCCCTAACTTAACAAACTCAATCCTCTCCGCCAGGACCACTTGGAACCACCCGGAACTGGACAAATTTAGATGTACTGTCTCTTTTTGTCCCCCACCCTCCATAACGCAAGAAGGCCAAAATTCGAATGCTGCTGATACTGACTGCGTATGATTGACAAGGGTCTCTAGTCACATGTGCTCATGGTCATGTGAGGACATGCAGATTCACGAGCGTGCAAACAGAACCAGAAGGCATATGGGAAGCAGGCTTTGTGGAGACTAGGGCTTAATGTTCCTCCAGTCTCCCACAAAAAAGATGAGGTAGATTGTTTAAGAAGAGAACCCCAAAGATGAGACAGGGAAGTCAGAGCATAACTAGCCAAAAAGAATCCTTTACCCCTGAGTGAGAAGTCGAGGGCCAAATGTTATGGGGACACTTGAAAATTTTTTTGTTATGTTTTGTTTTGTTTTTTAGAGGCAGGGTTTCTCTGTCTGTCCTGGACTAGAACTCACAGAAATCCACCTGCCTCTGCCTCCCGAGTGCTGGGATTAAAGGCGTGCACCACCACCGCCTAGCTAGCACCTGAATTTTTACATCCCATGCGTAGTGGGCACCTTAGAGGCATCTGTTAGAGGTGTGTGGTGGGGAGGCTTGGGAAACAGCTCAGTGGACAAAGAGCTTGCTGCGCAAGAATGTGATCTGAGTCTGGATCCCTAATGCCTGGTACAGAAAACAAGGCATGGTGGCGTATGTCTAACTGCAGCCCCAGGGGCAGAGACGGGCAGATTCTGAGGGCTTTGCTGGCCAATCCGATCTCCAAGATCAGTAGGGAGAAGGTAAGCCAACTCAGACACACATAAGAAATAAAAACAAGTACAAAGAAAGGGCAGCTATGTCCATCTGTGTCCAGGAGTTGGGCTGCCTTCCTCCTGCCGGCCTTTCCACGTACAAGGTCTCAGCAAGCCTTTGACCTTTGACCTTGGGCTTCCTTGTTTATGAAGTCTTTGGGCCTAAGTTACACTGCCAGCGTTCGAGGGTCTCCAGGTTGCAGTTTGTCATGGGACTTCAGTCTCCATAACCACATAAGCCCTATCATGTGTCTCTACCATGGCACCCTGTTCTCTCCAGAGAACCCCAACTAATCCACCTCCAGAAGGACGGATGGAGCCCAACATCTTTTCATTTTTTTTGCCCAAGATAGTGTTTCTCTGTGTCTGTGTAGCCCTGGCTGCCCTAAAACTTGCTGTCTTTGCTTCCTGAGTGCTAGAACTAAAGGCATGCACACCACACCTGGCAATGGGGCCTGTTATACACACCTAGACTCCCGACACTCAAAAGGCATTATCACCTGGGTTTCTGGAACATGCAGCACTAGAACATAGCAAGATCTCACCTCCTTGCTTTCTCTGTCTCCAGGAATAAGTGCCTGAGTGGTGTTGGTATGGTGGGGAGGAGGTGTCTCTGGTAACGCTCAGAAACCAGCTCAATTCTTCAGCTCTTTTCTCATCCTCTTTTTTAAAACCTGGGTCTTTATGACTCCATGAAAACCGAATTCTGTACTGATTCCAGAAGCTTCCGAGGCGCGAGCTGCCTCGCCATCACCTCCCTGCGCGCCACAGGCCTTACATAACCAGAGGACTTGAGTGAAAGGCTGCCCTTCACTCCTGAAGTGCTCATCAAATATTAATCGAACACCTATGGGTGAGGCTCACCTACGAGCGCCCATCCCACGCTGGCCTCTCGGAAGCACGTCCACTTGACCATGTTCTCTGGTGTCCTAGCAACCAGAAACTCTGATCTGAGCCCTGACAAGGACATAGGCCATTCCTTGCTGACCGCTGTGACTTGCCACCCTGAGCCTCTCGGGACCTGTTCCTATAGCAGTTCAGATAATTAAAGGATATCACTTGTCCCCAAGGACGCCCAGAAGCCTTGCCACGTCAAGCCATCCCCTGGCAGGATGAGCTTCTCGGTCACGTTCGCTGAGCTGGCCAACATAGCCATACCGCAGTGTGGAGTGGTGAACTTCAAGGCCCTTCACCTCCTGATTCAGGGCATCCTGGACCACATCCAAATCGCTGGGCTCAAGAAGGTCCTGTCGGGAGAAGAGGATTTCCTCCAGACCTCACAGGTGGTGCTTATGCCCACGGAGAGAGATCCCCAGCCCATCCTCAACCCCATGAAGAGGCTCAGCAACGTCTTCGACAATGTGGTGGACCGCATCAACAAGATAGAGAATCAGATATTCGCCATGAAGGGCATGCCCTCTACCACACAGCTGCTGGAGGACAGCCATGGGACCAACCGGCCTGCCGAGGACCTGTGGAACATGATCAAACTCGTGAAGAGGGTGGAGGGCAATGAGGAAGTCTTAGCGAAGGTAACTCCCTCCTGGAGAAGTGCTCTAGACCACACCTCTGCTTGTAGACATCTTGTCCCTTCCCTTCTTTGTGATGGGCGATGTATCCACTGATAGAGAGAGCACGGAGCTAGGAGAAAGCTTGGAGTCAGGCAGAAGCCAAGATCCTTAGTTGGGAGCTGAGGAGAGAAGCCATACAACAGACAACACAATATAGGATGGATTCCACGGTTGCACATGCCCAGAAGGCTGATGGGCAACTTCCAGGAGCCACAGGGCATGGTTACTTGGTGGATGTGGGGCTGGATTCTGGAGCTGTGAAGGTGTTTGAACCGCTGTCAGAGTGATAGGTGTTGAACTTTACCCCTGGGGTCAGAGCCGCTATGTTGTTTATTTACATTGGCTAATTTGGGCTGTGAAGACGCTCGATGAGTAAAACGCTTGCTGTGTAAGCATGAGGATGGGTCCAGACCCCGAACCATGAAAAAGACAGACCCAGTAAGACCCAGTAGCCTGTCGTTATAATGCCAGCTCTCGCTTTAAATTCCCTCCCTCTCCTCTCTCTCCCTCTCTCTCTCTCCTGCCCTCTGGTCGTATGTTTGTGTACACATGTGTGAAGGTACCCTTGGAGGAGAGAAGGTATCAGATTCCCCTAGTGCTGGGAACAGAACTTAGGACCTCTGTAAGAACAGTCAGTACAGTTCTTAATCGCTGAGATGTCTTTCTAGGCCCAATTCTAATTCAACTATAATGAGATGGGAGGTAAAGACAGGAAAACTCTCAGCAATCAAGGGCCAGCTATCCCATCATACAGACCAGTAATGAGACTCTGCCTCAAAGAGGTGGTAGGAGAGGTAACATCTGAGGATGACCTTTGGCCCCCATATGCCCAGTACATGTACACACACACACACACACACACACACACACACCATAGAAAACACACAAAGCTTTTTGTTTTTAGTTTTTTGGCTTTTTGAGACAGGATTTTTCTGCGTAGCTCTGATTGTCCTGGAACTCTCTCTGAAGACCAGACTGGCCTCAAACTCACAGAGATTCGCCTGATTCTGCCTCTGGAGTGCTGGGATTAAAAGTGTGTGCCAGCTGGGCAAGGTGACGTTTGTGAGGGCCAGGAGTAAGGTGCCAGATCAGGACTGGGACTGAAGCCATACCGGGCACTGGGAACACTTTTCTTCTATGCTCCGCTGGTCTGTGAGGCCTGATGGCTAGAAAAGCCCAATGCCAGAGAGACGTGCAGAATAACCGTCACCAATGGGAGGGTTCCGACGCAGGAAGGGCTCTTCCCACCCCCAATGTGGTCAGAGTCACTAGAACTTCCTCCAGTTTCCTAGCAAGGCTCAGTCAGACGAGAGCCTAGACTGGGCGTTGGCCACGGGGGCTGTTGGGAGTGAACTCTTCAACGCTGGAGTCCGGAGAGAGGATTAAGGCAACACCATGCCCTACCTACCATCTCAGTGTCCTGTCTCCTGCCTTTCTGGGGCCTCACACTGTCCCACTGCTTTATCCTCCCTGCCCAGGAAAACTGAGTGCTTACTGTGTACCCCGCGAACCCCACTCTGCCTCTGCTGCACCTCTCAGCTAGGCAGCTAGCAATGAGGCTGAGTTCATTAGTTCTGGTTTCCAGGTGGAGAAGAGGAGGCACAGGTTAACCAAGCAGATGAGGTCATCATTACAGGTCAAGATAGAGCAGCCAGTGAACGCTGGCCGGGTGAGCAGGCGGGAGGGCACGGGTCTGGGAAAGGGAAGGGCAAAACGGAGTCCACAGTCAGCTTGTGCCATGTGAGTGCCCATTTCAAACCGGTGTATGGGGGTGGGGGGCTTGAATGTGTGGAGCGCTGGAGGGAGCAGGAGCCTTATCCAGCCAGCACAGCCAGATCTGACACCGGGCAAAAGATCGCAGCAACGCAGGAAGGAGTGTCAATCATCCTGCAGAAGGAAGGGGCTGCAGAGACAAGCTGTGAGAGACCATTTCTATAAAGTCTCTAGAAGAGACGAGTCCAGAGAGTCAGAGAGTGGATTGGTGGCTTCCAGGTAGAAGTGGCCTGAGGAGTGACTGCTTATCAGAGAGAGGATCTTCTTTTCAAGGAACAAAATATCCTTAAATTATGCAGAAGGGTAAAAGAGATACATGTGTGCAGGAACAGAACAGAGCAGGTCCCTGGGCCAGCAGCAGCCTTGTTAGGCTCTAAGGCAACACTGCTAGAGATCAGGCTGTCCCTGGTGGCCTGGCCTGGGTGTGGGTACAGATGTCAGAAGTGCTAGCCACAGCCTGCCTCTGTGGTCTTTCGGCTTGGTGAATAAAGGCTTCTAGAATCCTCAAGTGCCTGAGTAGTTGAGCAAGGTCACCTGTCCAGCTCTGGAGAGGTCTCATGGACAGGTTCAGACCTGCCAGCGAAACCCTCGGAGGACTGTTTGTACCAATAAGGAATGTCCCAGTCATTAGAGCAGGCTGCCTTGGACCCAGCCTGATTGAAGTTGTCCAGGGTTACCACAGTGACCCATTGAAAGAGGTTGCCATGGTAGCGGGTGCAAGAACAAGGAGAGCTGCTTAGCTGAGTGTGTGCATACACCAGGCTGTGAGGATGGCAGGCCGGACATCACAGAGATGCTGAGTCACCTCCACTGACCCTTCCACCCCCTTTCTTAGGGCTGGTTGGGTTACTGTTCCTCTTATTAGTTAACCCTTGAAGGGTACAAGGACTGTCTCAGTACCCACTCCAGACAGGGCGAATGGTGCCGGGGAAACTAACACGGACCAACACCAGAGGGCTTCTGCTCCACAGTGGAGCCCTGGGAGGGTCCAAGGGCTGTGCAATTGGTCAGCACATTTGTCCCACAACAAGTCATTATTAAGCAGAGTTAGACTGTAGGGCTTCTCTACCCCAGTACTGTAGACAATGTGGGTAGGATCATTCTTTGTGGCTTAGCACTGTCCTGTGCATTGGAGGATGCTGAGTGACACCCATAGACACCAGAAACCAGAAGTACTACCTGCTTATTGCAGCTGAAGACACCTCCAGACACAGCAGGTGCCCACTGACCCAAGTGGGGGCTGCTGGATTAGAAAACCTGGGCTTTCTGGGCAGTGGTGGCGCACGCCTTTAATCCCAGCACTCAGGAGGCAGAGGTAGGTGGATCTCTGTGAGTTCAAGACCAGTCTGGTCTACAGAGTGAGATTCAGCCCAGTTACACACACACACACACAAAAAAAAAAAACCCTGTCTCGAAAAACAAACAAACAAACAATAAAGAAAGAAGGAAGGAAGGTAGGAAGAAAGAAAGAAAGAAAGGGAGAGAGAGAAAGACAGAAAAAAAAAAAAAGAAAACCTGGGCTCCAGGCTGGGTGTAACAGGCCTGTAACCAGAGAACTAGAGAGGCACGAGGATTACCTCAACTACAAGGTCAGTTTGGTCTACAGATCAGGTTCCAGGCCAGCTGTAACTAGATAGCCAGACCCCAGTCTTAGGAAGAGAGGGAGGAAGGAAAGGAGAGATGAAGGGCGAGGGGGAGGGAGGGAAAGAAAAAAGAAGAAAACTGATCTTCCATTGCAGCCTCAGCCTTCCTTCCAGACTGTAACCCCGTCTGTCGTCAGCTCAGCCAGCCACGGCAATAACACTGCCGCCCTGCGCTAGCGCCCTCTAGCAGAAGTTCCCCAAATTGTAGGCCCCTCCCTGACACACACCCTCTGTTTCTCATCTCTGGGAAAAGCTGCTGTTGGTCCCTGTCTGGCTGAAACCTTGGTTTCTTAGACATTCTGGTACCTGACCTTAAAGGAGAAAATGAAGAATGGCATTAAGTCTTTGATATTAAGATTGTTCCAGAGGCAGAGGCAGGTAGATCTCTATGAGTTTGAAGCTAACCTGGTCTACAGAGTGGGTTCCAGGACATCCAGGGCTATGTAGAAAAACCCTCAAAAAAAAAAAAAAAAAAAAGAAAAGAAAAGAAAAGAAAAAAAGTTCCTTCTCCTCCTCCAACCAAAGCACACCTGTTGTATATCATGCAAATTGAAATGACTTCGATTGACTTGGATTAGGGTTGTACAGCGCTGCTTACAGGTGTTGGCTTAGAGAAAGGGTCGGGAGCTGTTGTGGGAACAGAGACACTTTGGACTCTGTTGTCACCCTTCCCACAGTGTAGTGAAGACTTTCCTATTCTCATTGCCGTTCCCTGCGGCTCTGGATATGGCTGTATCAGCCTGCGTGTGCTTTGGAGCCCCTTGGTGTACCTCTTAAAGGGACAGGGAGCAGTCACAGACTGGACAGCCATGCTTCTAGTGTCTGTTCCAGGCTGGTTAGGTTCCCTGAACTCAGCTCCCTCTCAGTCCTCAGGCAGAGGAAGACTGTGACCCTTTCCCCTGAGGCACCTGCTCTCCTAGATCCAGGGCACAGTCCATGCATGCGAGGCAGCTTCTGGGCCACCGAACAAACCCACAGATGGGAACAGAACCTGACTTTCACCTGTGGCCTTCACTTGGGGGCAGCTCAAAGATTCTTCCATCTTTTCCAGATAATTTTTTTGGTTTTTTTTTTGGGGGGGGGTGGGTGCTTATTGTTGTTTGTTTTTGAGATAGGGTCTCATGTAGCCAAGGCTGTTCTCACACTTGCTATGAGTTGAGGATGGTCTTGCCCTCCTGATCCCCTATCTCCTGGTGCTGGGACTTGAGGTTACCTGGCACTTAGCTGTGTTTGTCGGGGGACGTTATTCCTGCCTGGCGTGTTTGGCCCCTGAGTGGCTGGAAGGCAGACAGGACAGAGGGATCCACGGACAGTTGGCTTTACACATCACACGCAGGGCCCTCTGGAGAATGCGGCCCCACCACGGTAGATGAGGACTTCAAAACCCACCCAATAACAGCATTGGCACTTTGAACAGAGTTAGCAGTAACTCTTTGGTTTTTGGAGTCAGAGTCTCTCTGCGTAGCCCTGGCTGTCCTGAACTAGCTCTTGTAGACCAGGCTGGCCTCAAACTCACAGAGATCACCTGCCTCTGCCTCCTGAGTGCTAGGATTAAAGGCGTGCACCACCACCACCCGGCTTTTTCTTTTCTTACACCATCATGACCAGCGCTAGCTAATTTTGAGAGAGTCTTGTGTAGCCCAGGCTGGTCTCTTATGTAGCTGAAGATGGCCCTTTTGACTCTGCCTTCTGATTTTGAGGATTGTGCCATCTCAGTGTTTTAAGATGGAAGTCTAAGCCACTGCCTTGACATGTTGCTTGTTTAGTGACACCATCGCTGTCAGTCAGCTGCAACAAACACCCCTGTGAGCTCTGCGCCTGCATCCAGCAAGTGTTAACATGTTTGCTATTGGCACACTAGGTCACTGCTTTCAGAGAGTATCTTTTCCTGTTCATTTATTTCCAACTTATTTATGCCTTTGAGTTTGAGCTATGTCTCATGCCTGGAAACTTAGCATCCCTGAGACTGAGGCAAAGGAGTCCAAGCTTCAGGTCAGCCTGGGCTACATAACAAGACCGCATCTCAAAGAAAGGGAGAGGGGAGGCAGTGCTTTTGGGCTGAAAGAAAAAGAAAGAAGGAAAGGAAGAAAAAGAAACACACTCTCTTGGGCTGGCGAGATGCCCCCGTAGGTAATGTATTTGCCACACAAGCACAAGGATATAAGTTCTACCCCTGGCATCCATGTAAAAAAAAGCTAGGCATGGTGTCTGCCTGTAATTCCAGGGCTGGAGATGCAGTCAGGAGGACCTGCTGGCCAGTCAACCTAGACTGATCGAGGAGCCCACTTCAAAAAATAAGATGGATGGTAACTGAGGAACCACACCCAGGTTGTATCACATAGATACACCTACATTCATGAACACGCACACAATAAGTGTCCTTAGATAGCAGGTATCTGAGTCTTCTTTTCCTTCCTTCCTTCCTTCCTTCCTTCCTTCCTTTTTTCCAAGACAAGGTCTCTCTGTGTACCCCTGGCTGTCCTAGAACTCTGTAGACCAGGCTGATCTTGAACTGGCAAAGATCAGTCTGCCTCTCCCTCCTGAATGCTGGGATTAAAAGTGTGTGCTGCCACCACCTGGCTCACTATCCACCTTTCAGTGCAAAGTTCCATACATTTGCCCCGAGTATTGCTGTAGGTTCTGGCTTGTACCGTTCCGCTATTTGCTAAGCGTTAGTTCTACATTGGGACATCTATACACATTATCACTTTTTCCTTCACACCCATCTTAGAGCAGACAAATTAAAACCTATAAAGTCACAGATACAGTCCCAATCATTGTGAGCTGAGTTATGATCACATGCTGGGATCATACATCAAACATGAGTTCTGTTCCAGAGGTTACCTTGCTAGTACCGCCTTCCTCTGTCACCAACCAGCATCAGTCAGATCTTTGAAAATGTTTATTCACAGGACTTTGGAGGCAGAGGCAGGAGATTTCTAGGTCAGTATGGGCTGTATAGTAAGTTCCAGGCTAGCCTGGGCTATGCAGTGAGACTGTGCCTCCAAAAGCCAGTCAGTCAGTAGGCAATTTTAAATAAAAATAAATAAATATGAAAATCTAGTTCCATCTCCCCTGCTTCTGACCCTCCAAGGGCTCGCTGCTTGGGCTGTTTCTCTCAAGACCATTGTGGCAATATGTATCACACGGATCTCTGAGAGTTCAAGGACAGCCTGGTTCACAGAGTTATTCTAGGACAAAGATATTCAGAGAGCCTGTCTGAAAAAGCAAAAAGTTAAAAGTAAAAATAAACAAAATAGAGTTAAAATAAAGCCCAACAAAGGTGGAAAATAGACAGAGAATTTTGATACTGTATGCTATTATGCTCTGTTTGAATTGTTTGAATGCTGAGAAAAGAGCAGCAGCTGCTAAAAGATATTTGTTTAATGCTGCTGAACTAATCCAACATAGATACTTTGAAAATGCCTTGACTTTGAAATTTGGATCTAAGGACATGATGCTTTGGAAAGGAGTTTCTTATTTTGTTTTCACAGAGGATGAGACCCTGTTCATTTCTTCTATTCCGATATGGTATGATGGACCACGCCCTCCTGAAGGGTTGCTGTGAACATCTTCGGAAAATTGCTTCGCTCAACTGCCAACTGAGATGAAACTAGCACACAGATTATACCATGAAAGACCTAATTAACTACGCCCCCATTCAGTAGGAAACAATTTGGAGAGAAAAAACTGCGCCCATGTTCCCAAATATGGTTTATAAACGTTCTATAACATTTAAAGAGGGATATGATATAGGTATGAATAATTTGCATTGACATGGATTTTGCTTTAGTGATATAAATTTTTTTTTTTTTTTTTTAGTTTTTCGAGACAGGGTTTCTCTGTAGCTTTGGAGCCTGTCCTGGAACTAGCTCTTGTAGACCAGGCTGGCCTCGAACTCACAGAGATCCGCCTGCCTCTGCCTTCCGAGTGCTGGGATTAAAGGCGTGCGCCACCACCGCCCGGCTATAAATTTAAGGTCAATATTGTTTTATGTATATGTGTTTCTGATCTTTACTAAGGTATTGTGATTGTGTAGTTCACTTAAAAATGTAATGTATATAGGTTATTGATAGATAATCATAATAGTCAAGCTTGTAGTCATGTTAGTTAGATTTTCTAGATATGTAAAGATATATTTCAGTTAGATTGGCATTCATATCTTTCAAAGAGTACGGAATTTGCTATTTAGTGTTTTAATAACTTAGGATTTTTCATGACAATGAGACATGTCTGCTCCTGCTTCAAGAAGAAGATGGGCATCGAAGAGGATCCTTATGGAGTTTGATAGCCATTTGGGCAAGAAACTGTTCTTGCCTGGACTATTGCATAAACTGGACACAGAGAACCTGCAGAGAGAGGACTGCTAAACTTGCCTAAGGTGAGATGATCTTTCGGGGTTCCTGATTCATGAAAGAGTCTGCGAGACATTCTGCAGGACACAACAGATAGTGACTGAACTGACTTTGAAATGTCCTGCTTCATGGAAATGTCTCTGGATACCATGGGCCTATAGGCCGAAGATGGATGCCCCAACGGTACAGAGAAACTTTAGATGACTGACCAGGCAGCGAGATGTCTCTGTCATTTCTAGAGTTTTGGATTTCTTGTTTGCTTGGGTAATATTATATCCTTCTGGAGTCTTTGATGGAGTTAAAGAATATATAGATAGTTATAGTTTTCCTTAGTTATGAAAAAAGATAAAATCGATGTAAATATTGTAACTTTTACTTGATAACTGTTTTGTTATATGTAATTTTGCTATGTTAAAGTTAAAGCCTTCCTTTTTTGTTTAAACAGAAAAAGGGGAAGTGATGTGGGAGTGTCATATATCAATCTGTTGATTTCATTGGTTAAGCAATAAAGAAACTGCTTGGCCCTCATAGGTTAAAACATAGGTGGGAGGAGTAAACAGAACAGAATGCTGGGAGGAAGAGGAAGTGAGCTCAGACTTGACAGCTCTGCTCTCTGGAGCAGAGACGCCATGCTCCGCTCTCCCAGGCAGACGCACACGCTGAAGCAAGCTGCCAGGTCAGACATGCTGAATCTTTCCCGGTAAGACCGGAGCTACACAGTTTACTAGAGATGGGTTGATCGGGATATCAGAATTAGCCAGTAAGGGCTGGAGCTAATGGGCCAAGCAGTGTTTAAAAGAATACAATTTGTGTGTTGTTATTTCGGGGCATAAGCTAGCCAGGAGGCCGGGGTGCTGGGGATGCAGCCCCGCAGCTCCTATCACAACACACACAAGCACACACACACACACACACACACACACACGCACGCACGTACCCGCACACACGCACACATGCACATATGCACCCGCACACCCTCGAAGCACTGATATCTTCGTGTTCTTTGCTAATCTGTGGGTACATTCATCTTAATTCTTTTGAGAACCAAGAGGATCCCTTAGATGGCTGTCACCGAGAACTTCTGATGTGATTTAGCCCTCACGCTGATTCCAGGGTTTCCCCCTTTCCCCTCTTCAGATCATGAAGACTCTGCAGGACCTGCTCACCGACCTCCATTTACTCAAGAACACTGTTGAAACCCTCCAGAAGGACGTGGATATGATAAAGTACATATCTGAAAAGGTAGCCATCCCTCTACCCTTATCCTCACTTGGCATGCTGGTTAGACCTCCAGGGGCTAGGGCAGTAAGGAAAATTCTAGGCCTGTCCTTAGGGAACATGACCATAAAGGGAAGAGAAGGGTTTAACTCTCCCCAGCCATTTTCCTGTCCCCTGTCCTGAACCTCCTGTGGTACCAGCTCATCTTGACTTAGGATAAACAATAGAATTTATTGTTTTACTTCCTTTTTTAAAAAAATATATTTATTTAATATGTATACAGTCTTCTGCCTACATATATGCTTCAGGCCAGAAGAGGTCACCAGCTTTCACTACAGATGGTAGTGAGCCACCATGTTGTTGTTGAGAATGGACCTCTGGAAGAGCAGTCAATGCTTTTAACCCCTGAGCCACCTCTCCAGCCCTTGTTTTACTTTCTAAAGTGCTTAAACACGGTTTGTTTTTGAATTTTATGTGCACGGGTGTTTTGCTTGCCTGCATGGCTTGTGTACCACGTGTGTCTGGTGCCTGCAAAGGCCAGAAGACCGTGTCAGATCCCCTAGACCTGAAGATGCAGACAGTTGTCAGCCACCATGTAAATGCTGGGAGGTTTCAGGTTGTCCAAGAGTTAGCAACTCCAGAACTCGGTGTCACCAACTTTCCTCTCATCGCAAGCACACTCCACGCTAAAAAGCAGGAAGAGCCAGCACAGACACAGTTCTTAGGTAACTCCATCCACCAGCCTAAACGCAGCCTAGCCAACCACAGAGTAGCACAGAATCCCTGGGGCAAGAGGCAGCAGCATCCAGACCGCAGCCGAAGAAATCAAACTGGATTCAGGAACCAGGTCTTCACTTCCAGGCCAGCAAAGTGGCCGAGGTGGAGCCACTGACCCCAAACAGTGTGGTTTTAATGTAGCATTTGAGTCTCAGGCTGATCTGGAGCTGGGTCAGGAAGCAGGACCGTGAAACACTAGTGTCTTTGTTCGGGTTTCTATTGCTGTGATGAAAGACCATGACCAAAAAACAAGCTGGGGAGGAAAGGGTTTATTAGGCTTACATTTCAGCCTTGCTGTTCATCACCAAAGGAAGGCAGGACAGGCACTCAAGCAGGGCAGGATCCTGGAGGCAGGAGCTGATGCAGAGGCCATGAGGGGAGCTGCTACTGGCTTGTTCCCTATGGCTTGTTTGGTCTGCTTTCATATAGAACCAAGGAGCAGAAGCCCAGGGAAGACACCACCCACTGTGGCCTGGGCCTTCCCCATTGATCACGAAATGAGAAAATGTCTTACAGCTGGATCTCAAGGAGGCATTTTCTCCTTCCTCTGATGACTCTAGCTCATGTCGAGTTGACACACAAAACCAGACCGGACAACTAGAAAGGACACCTTGGGGCAAGTCTATCTGAGCGACAATTCTTTCTTGGCCTACCTCTCACGGTCATTGGTGTGCTCCACTTTCACCTGCTCTGGAGCAGGTCTCCAGTCACCTGGCCTCTGGCCCGATAGGTAGTAGAGAGCGACTTAGGGCCTCCCGCTCCACAGCACAGTGCTAAGATTGCATGTCTAGTTTCTCTTGGTTTTATGCAGCACAGGGGATAATCCTTGGGTCTCATAGACGCTTGGCAAGTACTTCACCACCTGGGTCACGCTGCCAGCTCTCCTCTTCAAGAGTCTTTTGTTTGTTTCGTTTTGTTGTGTTTGTTTGTTTGTTTGAGACAGGGCTTTTCTGTGTAGCCCTGACTGTCCTGGAACTCACTCAGTAGACAGGCTGGCTTCGAACTCATAGAGATTGCCTGCCTCTGTCTCCTGAGTGCTGCGATTAAAGGTTTGTGCCAGCACTACCCAGCTAAGATTCTTAATGTTCTACTCTTTCAATGTCCTGAAAAGCTCAGAAATTGTTGAAGGTGTTTAGCCCAGCACTTCCCAAACTTTTTTTTTTTTTTTTTTTTTTTTTTTTTAATCTGTGGAACCCTTTTCTTTGCTTGGAAAATCCTGTCATTCCAAACTCACTTGCCTAATATGGTGAGAAGTAGCCAGGCTGAGACCAGAACCTGTACCCCAGCCTTGGATTATGGTTCCTGGCAGGTGAACCCAGAAAGAGTGGAGCTTGTCTGTGAAGACTTGAAAATGCAGAACCGGAAGTTGGGTGCCCTGCAGCGGGAAGTGGTGAGATTCTGGGATTCTGTTTCTTGCCCTAGGCTCTGGGGCTGGAATAGTTGTGGGGAACAGCACAGCCTGAAAAGGGTTTCAGGGAGCAAGAACTCATGTTAACAACATCCCCCCCCCCCCAGCAGCCCAACCCTAACCCACACTCCCTCTCCACCCTACCGCACAGGTTACCCTCCAGAACAAGGTTCATGCTGTCCCCCAACCTGAGGACATGGTGCTCTGGAGTAGTCTCCATGAGGCCATGTTCAGTCCGGTGAGTGGAGGAAGAGGAGGAGGAGGAATGGAACAAGGGGGTCATGAAACCAGACCGTCAACTCGACCCCTTCCCCTACAGGGACCTCAGATGGAACTGGAACCGTCCAAGACGTGGCAGAGTATGACCTCTCTTCTAGAACCTACCTTGGGGCCGGCTGAGGATGGCGGCCAGACTGATGTCTCACACCCTACCCACAGCGCCACCCCTTTGCAGACCATCCTGCATTTTGAAACCGCGGGAGTCCTTGAGGAGGATGCCTTCACCCAGGCTACTGAGTTTAGTGCCCCCCAGGGGGTAGAGTATGCTCAGGTCTCCGTGTCTCAGTCTGGGTCTATAATTGCACCTGGACAAGTACCAGGGCCTAGTGGGAGACCTGGTGCTGGTTTCATCCCAGCCGCTTGGTCTAGACCTGAACTGGCTCCCCCAGGCGCATGGCCCTTACCACCAAGAGGCTGGCCTGGGGCTAATGCTTGGCCTACGTGGGATATGCGTACCTTCCAGCCTAGCCTAGGTCCATTTGTCCCTCTGGATCAGATGTACAGGGCTCCTTTCCCAGGCATGGAACCTGGACCACCATGGCCTCCTCAGATGTGGACACAACACCAGATTCCTAAACTAGGAGCCCGCCAACTTTCAGATGTTGAAGAAAGAGGGGATGAATCCGAATATGACTACGTCAAAATGTATCAGAAAGCGATCCCTAAAGATGGGGCTCCCCAGGATGCTGTTCCTGAGGAAGGGGCTCCCCAAGATGGTATTCCCAAGGAAGGGGCTCCCCAGGAGGAGATTGCCAAGGAAGAGGCTCCCCAGGTTGGGACTGGCAAGGACAGGGTGCGCCATCACAGAGTCACCAAGGGTGGAGCTCCCAAGCACAGAACCCACAAAGATGGGGCCCCCCGTGAGAGAGCCCCAAAAGATGAGGCTTCCCAAGACACAGTTCCCAAGGCCATGGCCACCAAAGATGGATCCCAGAGAGACATGACCCAAGCAGCACACCCTAAGGGCCCTTCGTCAGCCCTAAAGAAGCTGAAGTCCGCACTGGCGATAGCTGCAGCAACTGCTGCAGCCTATGCATCGGCAGCAAACACAGCTGCCCGGGCAGCCAAAGCTGCGGTCAAGGCAGTCAAAGATGTTCCTGCAGCCCAAATGGCTTCTTTAGCCTCAGCTGCGGCAGAGGGTGGGCCTTTAGGGACCTATGCAAATTTCCTGGGTGCAGGAACTAGCCGTGGGGCCACCGACTTCATGCCCTTCAGTGAAGATGAGCTAGAAGACCTTCCTGAAGAGATCATATCATCACTTCTTCACCCCATGGCACCCAGATCAGTCCTGTCCCAGGCCATGGTAACTGCCATGCAGGCTGAGAGCCCTGAGGAGAAGAAGAGGGCTGTCCGGTACTCCATGAGCCACATAGCCCAGATGCCTATCAAGCACGATTTTCTCAAAGAAGAGTTTGCCCATCTGTCGACCAGCCTGCACCAGCGCTTAAATTACCTGGGTAGGCCTGGTCAACCCCGGGGAGGGCAGCAGAGGCTCAGGCCCTCCCTGTAGTCTGGCTCCTTAGGTTTCCTCAACAAGATCTTCATTCAAACTTTAGCCACCTGTCCCTTTGGCTTAAGCACTACTAGCCTCTTAATAATCTACTCTTTTTATAGTAAACATCCCCCCCCTCCATTCCCTGAGTGCTGGAATTCCAAGTATATAGCACCATGTTTAGCTTCTTCTTCTTTCTTCTTCTTGTTCTTGTTCTTCTTCTTGTTCTTGTTCTTGTTCTTCTTCTTCTTCCTCTTCTTCTTTTATATTTATTTATTATGTATATAATATTCTGTATACATGTATGCCTGCAGGCCAGAAGAGGGCACCAGACCTCATTACAGATGGTTGTGAGCCACCATGTGGTCGCTGGGAATCGAACTCAGGACCTTTGGAAGAGCAGGCAATGCTCTGAACCGCTGCCATCTCTCCATCCCCTCCTCCTTCTCCTCCTCCTCCTTCTCCTTCTTTTCTTTTTCTTCTTTTTGAGAAATAGCCCTGGCTGTCCTGAAACTCACTATGTAGACCAGGCTGGTTTTGAACTCACAGAGATTGACCTGCCTGCCTCTGCTTCCTAAGTGGTGGGATTAAAGGTATGTGCCACCATGCTTGGTTCATATGTTCTTTCGTGAGTTTTTGTAGAAACTGTATCAGAAAATCTACCCTCCTTTTCAAGTCCCCCCAGGCTCACTGTATTTCTTTGGGACACAGCATAGGCGTGGGTGCTCTCGCGTCATGTCCCTCCGACATTCCTCTTAGCGGTTGCTCCCTCATTTTACTTTCAGCTAACATTGGAGGCCCTGCCAAGATTGGCAACACAATAAATGTGCTGGAGGAGAAGATTTGTAACCTCCAGAAAGCCAGGCTACAGGTTAGTGCCCTAGGCAGAAGATGGTGGCTTGCCTTGAGTTAGGGACCCGCCTTTTGACTGTCACCCTTCCAATCAAGCTCTGTTGTTGCTGGAAAGGGACCTGCACAAGTGAGTGGGGTGGCATCAACAGCACTCATGCAAAGTCCATGGGCAGGTGGCTCTGTTGTCCCCCATCAATAAATGTTTTATGTGCCAGCAGAGGCCAGCCTGGTGTGCACAGGCCTGATATCGCTTCCTGACTTTAGGACCCTCCTATTTTGGCAACATCGGAAGCAGAGCCTTGGATGTCACTGTCTCTCCCATTTAGGAAGAAGAACTTGAGAGAGTTTGGGGCCACCAGATTGAGACAATGAAGAATCACTACATGGTGCTCGACAGGACGGTGGAAAAGCTCCAGATTCGCATAGATGACTACAAGGTTAGGAGGTCTGAGGACCAAGAGGGAGGCAAGGAGAATTGCTCCTTGGGATGACGAGACCGTCCCCAAATGGTTTATAGTGGGGTCCACTAAATGCAAGGGAAACAGACGACATTTTACTCTGCACAAAGTACACTTCAATCACCCAGGTGGTGGCGCACACCTTTAATCCCAGCACTCAGGAGGCAGAGGCAGGCGAATCTCTGAGTTTGGGGCCAGCTTAGTCTACAGAATGAGTTCTAGGGCACCCAAATCTATACAGAGAAACCCTGTCTTGAAAAAACAAAGAAAGGGAAGGAAGGAAGGAAGGAAGGAAGGAAGGAAGGAAGGAAAAAGAAAGAAAAGAAAAGAAAAGAAAAGAAAAGAAAAGAAAAAGAAAAAGAAATCCCAGGGACTGGAGAGACAGTCCAGCGGTTAAGAACACTGCGACTCTTGCAGAGGACCTGGGTTTCATTCCCAGCCCACATGTGACAGCTTAAAATTACCTGTTAACTCCAGTTCCAGGACATTCAGTGCCCTCTTTTTGATTCCATGAGCACCAGGCACGTACGTGGTGCCCATACAAACATTTAAGTAAAACATTCATACACATAAATCTTTTCTAAAATCCCCCACACAAAGGGCCTGGACAGTGTGTATCCTTGAGGGCCTTTGTAGGACAGATTTAAGGCTTAGTGACATTTGTCAAAGAGATCAGTGTATGCATAAGAGGATTTCTTTCTTTCTTTTTCCTTTTTCTTTCCTTTTTTTTTCTTTTGAGACACTGTTTCCCCATAGCCTGTAGCTTTGGAACCTGTCCTGGAACTTGCTTTGTAGACCAGGCTGGCCTCAAACTCATGGTTATATGCCTACCTCTGCCTCCTGAGTGCTGGGATTAAAGATGTGTGCCACCACTACCTGGCCTTCTATTCTTTTTTTTTTTTTTTTGAAAAAGAGGATTTCTTTTCTTATTTTTAGTAAGAGGATTTCTTGTAGCAATAGTTATGTTCATAACTTTCCCCCTGAACCAGTTCTTCCTCCTGCAGGGTTAAGAATGGAGCTAGGAGCCGGGCAGTGGTGGGGCACACCTTTAATCCCAGCACTTGGGAGGCAGAGGCAGGCGGATCTCTGTGAGTTCGAGAACAGCCTGGTCTACAAGAGCTAGTTCCAGGACAGGCTCCAAAACCACAGAGAAACCCTGTCTCAAAAAAAAAAAAAAAAAAAAAAAAAAAAGAATGGAGCTGGGTGTGAGGCAGCAAGTGCTTGCCTAGTGTGCCCAGAACCAAATTCCACTGCTTAGAAACTAGGGCAGAGAGTGAAGAAGGCTCACCACACTCGTGGCCTCCATTTACATCCCAGTAGATATAAATGCAAGGCAGGCTGGGAGTGCGGTTCTCATCCGGGCAGCTAAATTGGGAGTTTTTCCGATGGGTGAGGGAGACCAGATGCGAGGAGAGAAGAAGTCCCTTTGGCTTGGGAGGAAAAGTGACCCCAGCCTCTGGGGACCGGGGAGGCGCTTCCCAAGCAGGCAAGCTGCTGCTCCTGTCATGGGGGGGGGGGATTTATTTATTCGTTGTCTGTTTGTTTATTTGTTTTGAGACAAAGTTTCTTGTGTAACAGCACTTGTTGTCCTGGAACTTGCTCTGTAGACCAGGCTGGCCTTGAACTCACTGAGATCCTCCTGCCTCTGCTTCTTGAGGGCTGGGATTCAAGATGTGTGCCACCACTGCCTGGTCTTGAGGGGTGTTTATTAAGTGGAGATAGGCCAGCACCAACAGGGGAGTTCATGAAGTTAGGTGATGGGAGTTAAGGTTTCCCCTCTAATCCTTGGGCATGATGTATGGCCTGCTGACGTCAGGATGCTGGGACCCCACTGCAGCTTAGATGAGGTGGACTGGATTAAATGTCCAGGGAACGGCACGGCCAGCACTGCCTTGTGCTTCCTTGGATTGACCTCTGGTGACACGGGAGACTAGGGCTAGTTTGTCCCTAGTCTCTGTGGCTTCTCTTCTGTCCCAGTTGCCTGTAAGCAGGAGCTCTAACCCAGCCATCTGCTCCTTACCCACATGGCCTCAGTTCCCTTCCTAGCACGTGGCAAAGTTGGAGGCACAAAATCAATGTGACCCTCAAGGCCACAGCAAAGGCTGACCTGCCTATACTTTGCCCTTAGATCCTCAAGGCTGAAATCCAAAGGCTGGATCAGATTAAAGCCGATAAAACTACGATGGACCAGGAGCTGAGAGAAGTAAGCTGAGGTCCCCTGCCCCCTACTGTTCATCCCCTGCCTCCCACTGTTCATCCCCTGCCTCCCACTGTTCATCCCCTGCCTCCCACTGTTCATCCCCTGCCTCCCACTGTTCATCCCCTGCCTCCCACTGTTCATCCCCTGCCTCCCACTGTTCATCCCCTGCCTCCCACCGTTCATCCCCTGCCTCCCACTGTTCATCCCCTGCCTCCCACTGTTCATCCACTGCCTCCCACTGTTCATCCCCTGCCTCCCACGCCCTGTTCATCCCCTGACTCCCACAGCCTCCTGCCTCCCACACCCTCTTGCCTCCCACGCCCTGTTCATCCCCTGCCTCTCACACTCTCCTGCCTCCCACTGTTCATCCCCTGCCTCCCACTGTTCATCCCCTGCCTCCCACGCCCTGTTCATCCCCTGATTCCCACAGCCTCCTGCCTCCCACACCCTCTTGCCTCCCACGCCCTGTTCATCCCCTGCCTCTCACACTCTCCTGCCTCCCACTGCTCATCCCATGCCTCTTATTTGCCAGTCAGAGTCGGAATCACCCAGCAAAGGCAGCAGCTAGCATTCCCTCTGCCTCTATTCATTCAGGAAATCTGGGAGACCTCAAAAGTTACCTATCCACTCCTCTTTCCCATGACTGGAGATTAGTGACATTATTATTTTAAAAATCAGCCGGGTAGTGGTGGCGCATGCCTTTAATCTCAGCACTTGGGAGGCAGAGGCAGACGGATCTCAGTGAGTTAGAGGCTAGCCTGGTCTACAAAGTGAGTTCCAGGACAGCCAGGAGTGTTCTCAGAGAGACCCTGCTCAATATATATATATATTATAACTGGGCAGTAGTGGTGCACACCTTTAAGGCCAGCACTTGGGAGGCAGAAGCAGGTGTATCTCAGGGTTCGAGGGCAGCCTGATCTACATAGTGAGTTCCAGGACAGCCAGGGCTACTAGAGAGACTCTGTCTCAAAAAAAAAAAAAAAAAAAAAAAAAAAACAAAATAAGACAAAGAAGCAGGCATCAGGCCTTGGATGGATGCCTTCCTAGTGTGCATGAAGCCCTAGGGTCAGCCCTCAGCACAGCACAGTGGCGTGAACCCATAACCTCACCACTGGAAGCAGAAGGCTCAGAAATTCAAGATCATCTTGACCATGGGCTACAAGGCCAGCCTGTATCCCATGGTGTACATGGGACTGTGTTTAAAAAATAGACATAAAATAAAAATCACAGTCAACTTTCCTGTTTGGCTCAGATCCCACAGCTGTGTTTGAGCCAGTGTAGACACCACCACTGAACTTAAGCCAAGGTTACACATTCATGGTCTTCAACTAGAAAAGCTGGCCCCAGAGATCAGGGGTCTTGCTGACCTGAACCCCCTCTGCCTAGAAAGCTGACAAGGATGCCCTGGCAAGCAAAGCAAACCGGGTGGACCTGGAGGTGACGGCGATGGAGCTGAACGAGATGATTCAGAGCATGCTCTTGAAGATCACGACCTATGAGGGGGACTGGAAGAAGTCGCTGAAGCACCTCAGGAAGGACCTGAACACTAAGGTGAGTTATGCAACAACTTGCCCCAGAGCTTAACAGCCTCAAGGAGCAAATGTTGATGGTTTTTAAAGAGCTTGGAAGCAGCTTACTAGGTGGCTCGGGACCTATGACTTCCCAAGTCAGAGTGAGGTATGCCATTCCCATTGTACCACCTGAACGAGCCAGGTGAAGCCACTGCCGTCAAAGCACTTCAGTGTCTCCTACACCGACTCCTTGGGGCCACTTGAGGGCCTCACAACATGGCAGCCACTCCCCCACCGCACACACCAAGTGACCCAAGGCAACAAAAAGAATGTGCAATGAGACTCCCATCATTTCCACGTTGTCCTCTTCATTATTCAAGTCGACCCTGTTCAGAGCAAGAGGAAACAGCTCCGGTGGAATGAGTCCCAGCCGTATCTGCAGCCATGTTGGAGGCTGACTTCCGGAACTCTCAGGGCGGTGCAAGCACCCCAACTAACAGGTTGGGGTGAGGAGGCTTCCTGCAGAAAGGACCATGCCTGTCATTTGTTCATCTCAGTGACTGCCCCGGCGTGCCACGCCTGGGGAATGCAGACGGGCAGTCCCAGCGCGCTCCGTGGCTCTTTTAACCGCGTGGCGCATTTAGAATCAGGTACTCTTGGTTTGTGTCTCGAACAGGCTTCAGCTTTCCTTCTGTAAGCTGGAGATTGATCCATTCATCATTCATGCTCCTTGCTGGGTGAGCAGTGAGCCAAGCAGATGGGGCACCGTCTTTGCAGAGACAAATTCCTCAAAGAAAGGACACAAATTACTGAAAAGCCGCAATGCCATAGCATTCTGCTGGCCTGTGTTTCTCTTGCTTCAGTGGAACGGAATGAATCTAAAGCTGGACTGACAATGTGACTCGAGTAGGAATTAACACATAAGTCACTGTTCCCAGGGATGGGGGTGGTGTGGTGCACAGCTGGAATCCGAGCACTCAGGAGGTCCACAAGTTCAAGTCCAGCTTGGGCTACAGTGAGTCTGGAGGTCAGCCAAAGTAATCTAGCAAGACCCTGTCTTATAGGGAAAAGGAAAAGGGATTCAGACAGACAAATCCTGAGGACAGAGAGCAGGTTATTGGTTGCCAGGGGCTGGGGATTTGGAAGGAAATAGGGGTAAATGAAAATGTTTTTTTTTTGGGGGGGGGAGTGATGTAGATGTTCTAAAATAAATTATGAAGTCAGGTGTGGAAGTGTAAGGCTACCATTTCAGCTCTTCTGATGCTAAGGCGGGAAGATTGTGACTTCCAGGCCAGACTCAGCTACATAATGAGGACTGGCTCAGATAATTAAATAAATAAATAAAAAATTGCCAGGCAATGGTGGCACATGCCAGTTTGAGGCCAGCCTGGTCTACAGAGCAAGTTTCAGGATGGCCAGGGCTACACAAAGAAACCATGTCTCCAAAAACAAACATAAATAAATAAGTTTGCTGGGCACAGTGGTGCATGCCTTTAATCCCTTTAATCCCAGACAGAGAGGCAGATGGATCTGTGAGTTCGAGTTCCAGGACAGTCAGGGCTCTGTGGAGAGACCCTGTCTTAAAAGAAAATTTAAAGTAATAATAATAAATTTGATTGTGATGGTTACATAACTTTATGACTACACTAAAACAGTTGTCCACTTTATATGCAAACCCTCCATAAATATTTGTGACCCACGTCAGGATACAGAGTTCACCCGGAGAAACATTTTTCCAGCCTCTGGCCACACAGGAGCTGGGAGTCTTATTTGCAAGTCCCCTATGTCAACAGCTCCCGTAAAGGCGTGAACTGAATGGTTTCTCCCTTTTCTGGGTCTTGAGCTGCTTTATCTCATTCTTTGTGGGACTCTACAGGTTTCTGGGGTCAGCTAACTGGCGGGACTTCTTTCTTCCCTGTGACTGGCAGCTAGTCCACAGCGACCTCAATAGCCTGAAGAAGGACATAGAGGAGGTCTGGAAGATCGTTCGGAAGCTCCTGATAGAAGGCCTGAGATTTGATCCCGACAGTGCCGCAGGCTTTAAAAAGTGAGGGTGCTTATACTGATATTCTGACCAAGAGACGGATGCCTAGAATTCTAGACCGTGGCCACGGGGAGGTGTGACACAGTAGAGAGCGTCCATCAAATGAGGAAACCAAGGCTCAGAGAGGGAAGGGAAACCAGGATAGGCCCACCGAATTGGCAGGTCTAACTCAGCCTGAGTCAGGGTCTGTGACCCCTGTCCCCGGACAGAGAGGCTTGCCATCAAGCACCCTGTATGTCCCTCCTCCAAAGGTGGCTTCACTAGTGCAGGAACTGAGGTTGATGTGCGATTCCTGGGCCTGTATGAGGTGGGAAACCACAGCGCTCTGTCCTGGGGCCTCAGGCACTGACAAAGGGATTTGGGGGACCTTCAGTTCACCCCACCCCAAGCCCTGGAACCTGCTAATCCTTGACTACTGACCTGCTTGTCCTCCAGGAAACTGTTCGAGCGGGTGAAGTGCATCTCCTGTGACCGGCCAGTAGAGATGATGACCGGCCCGTGAGTATCACCACCAGGGGGCGCTCTCCTATACACATCGTGACTCCGCTCTGCAGAGCTCAAGCAAAGGCACACACCTACCTACACATCCTTCCACACCATTCTCTAGCTACCATAGACTGTCCTCCCTTAGTGGTTCCCTCGAAGGGGGAGTAGATCTCTCTCACCTTTACCACTCCAAGTTAGAAACACGAAAAAGAAAAGGATAGAGGGATCGCTGAGGGAAAGCAGGGATTTGTTATTTCTGACTTCGTTAATCTTTGTGGAGACAGAGTCTTGCTACGTAGTCCAGGCTGGCCTCAGAACTTGCAGTCCTCCTGTGTCACCGTCCCAGTGATGCGATTTCAGGTGCACATCTTTAGTTCCAGCTTCTTGCCCTTACTTTGTTATCATTGTAAATGGCGTGGTCCCGTGGCCAGCAATTCTGCAGTTGTTGCCTCTGGTCAATTCCAGCGCCCTGCTTAATCCCCCAAAAGCATTCATCCCCTGTCCCGTTGGCAGTCACTTCTCATTGCCACCTCCCTGTAGCTCAGGAAGTCATTGGATTTGTCTTTTCCAGATGTTTTCTGTAGATGGGACTGTACAATATGTGACCTTTGGTGTCTGGCTTCCTGACTGGGCTTAATGAGATTCCTCCACATTGTAGCAGAAATCAACACTTCGCTCCTTTGTTACAACTGAGTGTAGTTGTAGGGGCAGAAAGCCCTTTGTGCATCCATTCGCCAGCCGGTGGGCATTTGGGATGTCTCTAAGCTGGTGTGACTAGGTGACTAGTGAACACGGGTGTGTGTTTGAGTGCCAGTTCTCCATGGCTGGGAGAGATACTGGGTCACATAGTGACTCCGTATGCTCCAGATGGTAGTCTGTTCCAGGCTGCTGATCTCTATGATCATGACTGTGCACATGTGACCAAGAATCTGGGTGGTAAATCTCATCTGAATTTTGTTAGCCACTTGTAGCCTCTGGCTACTATACTGGATGGCATGGCTGTGGAAGAATATTAACGACTTGAAAAAATGATAAAGGAAATCAGACCATATGCATGTGATTTTCCCGCTTTCTTTAAAGAAATTACACAAACATGAACATAATATTGGAAGAATATGAATGTCAGAGTCTGTCCCTGTTAGGGAGCTTGCTTCTTTGTGCCTTCCTTTACTTTATAACATGCAGATCAATATGCCTCACTGAACATGTTTCAATGCAGCGTACCGTCTGCACGGGAACAAACATGTCTGCATGTGTGTGACCATTGCACAGAGGGAGCGGTGGAGTGGGCCCAGCTCCCTAGAAGGCTGTTTTGGATTATGGACATACATAACCTTAGCCACTTGAGGGAGCTCCACAGTTGGTGTGTCCGGGATGTGCAGACCCCACGTGTACCTGAGTCCTTTGCCATGGCCCTTCCAAGCAGTGTGTCCCCCCTCCTTGTGCCCATAGTTCCTGGCAAACCCTTATCTGTGACAAATCTCTAAGATTTCCCTCCTTTGGTTTTTGACTACTATTTATTTATTTCTTTACTTATTACTGGAGAAAGGCACACATACACACAGGTCCAAGGTAGCCTTAGCCTTGAATGAAGTATGTCCTAATAGTACAGGCTGACTTTGAACTTGTTTTCCTCCTGCCTCAGACTGCCAAGTGTTGGGATTACACATGTGCATCACCACCTCTGGCTTGGTTTTCACTTTAGATTCTGAACGGTGTTTGTATCTTCCCCCAACTGTCAGCTGCAAGCTTTGGACTTGGGCTTCAGGCTGTGAGCTGCCTGAAAGTCCTAGGCTTCCTCTCTCCAGGCCTGGGAGCCTGGAGCCCTCTGCTGGGCATTGCACCTCCCACAGCCCTGGTCCCCTCTGCCTCCACAGACAGCTCATCACCATCCGCAACACCCGTGGGCTGTCACAAGTGAGGCCAGCCAGTGCCAACAGCTTCGAGTATCTGCAACGGCAGCTGATAAGGTGAGGGCCATGCCCACCCCCATTCCCAGGGAGGCCCAAGACCCCTGCCAACAGACTTTCCTTCAATGCAAGAGCCAAAGAGGGCCCAGGATGCCCTTCTGGAGTTGTGGTGTGGCTGATAAGTACACAGAGGGCAGGGGGGAGAGGAGCCAACATCTGCATTTGGCATCTGCTGTGGGCTGGAACTCAGGAGGGTCTTGTAATGGAGGCATATTGTGCTAGCTACTCAGGAGACAGAGGTAAAAGGATCTTAAGGTCTTCCTAGGCTACAGAGTGAAACCTTGCCTCAAAAGAAACAGAACAAGGCCAAGGCCGGGGATATAGCTCAGTGACAGTTTGTCTAGCATGCACAGGCCCTGGGTTCAACCTCCAGCTGAACGAATGAGGGGAGGGTGGAGATGGGCGGGCTCCTTGTTAGGTCTTATAATCCTTGGAATATAGTATTAACTAACATGCTTGCTTCCTGTGGGTAATTGAGGAGCCTCTGGGAGCCCTTGCTGAGGTCTTGTTGGGTCATATGGCTTCCTTTGGAAATGTACTACAATTTCACCACACTTCATAGCTGAGACAATGTGACCAGCCCACGACCACACCACAGCTAGGGAGTGACTGGGGCCTTACCTGCCATCATTTTCCTCCCTCAAACTAGCTGGCTACCTGGACCTCCTCTTCATTTCCCTCATTCTTGGGTGCCAGGGGGTCCCTCCAGGGCCCAGTCCGTGTGAGCTTCTGGCCAGGCGTGGGACAGGGGCAGGGGAATGAACAGCTGAGCATTAATCACTGCAAGGGGAAGGATGAATAACTTGTGTGGCTCACCTAAACCCCTGTCTGCTGAGAAGGGAGTGTGGGCGATTTCTCTCCTAGAATTGTCCATGTCTGTATTTACTCACCAAGCTCCAGGACTGCCTGCTGTACCACCCTACTTCTCTGGGGCCTGTGCAGGGCTCCTCTGTGAGGGTTCACCATGTGGCTGCTGACCTCTGCCCTGTCCAGGGAACAACAGCACCAGCTGCACTTCCACAACTTTGGAGTCCATGAGGAGGGTCTGGGCCCCCAGAAGGACTGGGGTGATGGACCCCGAAATGGGACCACCTTCAAGCACAAACCAAATGATCTGTCAACAGTCTACCCTTACGGGGACCCTGAGATAATGGACTACGACACAGTGAGTCTGGCTCTGCCCTCCTTTCAGAGGCTAGATGCCCACATACCCAACCCCAAGTGTGGGATGAAGCCCGGAGCTGAGATGCCCACATACCCAACCCCAAGTGTGGGATGAAGCCCGGAGCTGAGATGCCCACATACCCAACCCCAAGTGTGGGATGAAGCCCTGAGCTGAGATGCCCGCATACCCAACCCCAAGTGTGGGATGAAGCCCTGAGCCGAGGGCACCTCGAGGCCATGTCCTGGCTCTGGGTGTCTGTGTGCATCAAGAGAAAGGGGTGGCAATGGAGTCCCTGACTTGGGACCTGGGCCATCCTACAGGCTGAGGTGGATATCCTTGGAGTGGATGGGGTCCTGTACAAAGGCCGAATGAACACCCAGTTTGGGACTCGGACTGGGGAGAAGGATCTGGCAGGTGAGGAGCATCGGTGTTTCCTGGGATTCCTACCCTGGAGTCTGGTTCTGCTGGCCAAGACGGGGGAATGCAGGTGGACTCAAGGCTGGTGCTGCCCCTGGCTGAGGAGCCCTCACAGTCACTTCCAAGAGTAGAGTCCTCATTGTGTGCTTGGTATCTCACCAGGTGGGTGGGTGGGCCTAAAAGCACGCAACAGAAGGGAAGAATCCCTAGCGGCAGACAGAGATAAACAACTAATCTGAACCAGCCATCCATGGTGGCACACACCTTTTGGTTTTTGTTCATTTGTTTTATTTTGTTTTGAGTCAGGATTTCTTTGTGTAACCCTGGCTGTCCTGAAACTCACTCTGCAGACCAGGCTGGCCTCGCAGGTGGGTCTCTGAGTTCAAGGCCAGCCTGGTCTACAGATGATGTTCCAGAACAGTCAGAGCTATGGAAACAAAGCAAAATAAACAAAAATGTCCCAACTGACCTTTTCAAAATGAACAAAAGTTGGGGTCTCTTGGGACAAAAGGTATATAGCTCCGTGACAGAGTTCATAAATGCAAGGGCCTGGGTTCTTTTACTAGTACTGGAAAAGAAATGGATAGCTGAGCTGGAGCTGGACACCGGCAAATGCTGGCCTAGGGGGGATGCCATGCTGGTGGGATGAGCTGTGCCAGGCAAAGCTGGTCCATGGGGGAGCGATTAGCGCCCTGAACACTTCTGAAGAAGATACAGGAGTGAGTTAGCGGAGGGGGGGAGGAGTGTGGTCTGTGTGGAGCAAGAGCAGATTCAAGGCCCTGTGGTAGGCTGGGCAGAACTGCGGGAGGGTGAGTCTACCTGGAGCACAGAAACTAGGTAAGGGTAAATAACCAGGAGCCCAGGGTCAGAGCAGCGAGAGACCCCAGTCTTTGTGCGTTTTGAATCGGTTGCTGTGGTTATTCGGGTGTCTAGGACCCCAAAATTCTTAGTTTCCTCACTGAGTGTATAATAAAATAATACAAAAACGGAGCTTCTCTGTACACGCATGGGGATGTTTTCCTCTGGGAAGGATATGTCTAAAGCTTGCCCCTGCCCAGGAACTGCAGCGCTTACATCAGGAGTGATACAGGATCTCAGGGCATCTAACCGATAGGAATTCCACGGGCTGCCTATGGACCAGAGCACCCAGCCTGACATGCACTAGGCTGAGACCACACCCCCCAGTAGCTGTCAGAGCTCACCCTGAAACCCCAGGGCCCCAGAGCTACAGGACAGTTTACCCATATCTGACATCCTAAGTCACAGTATAGCAGAGCTGTACTCAGAGTTGTCCGAAGTCTCTTCAGGCCCCGGCCAGCTCCTGCGGCAGCTGGCACCTCTTTGCAGGGGCCTGATCACTCCTGCTGCCATGGTGGCTACTGCCGCCTCCTTCTCCTCCGGTTCCTTCTCTTCTGACTCTCATGAAGACACTTATCACTGGACTTCAGGCTTAGTGTAATCTAGGACCATCCATTTCAAGACCTGAAATCACACCTGCAAAGATCTTTTGCTCCAGTAAGGTCACATCTGTAAGTTCCACGGAAAATACCATTTAGGAGTCCACCATGCAGCTCCAAGGGGCAGAACAGCATCTCCCCTGCCCTTTGCCCAGGCAGGATGTGACTGCTCAGCAACCCCAATGCAGATCTGCTGGGAGGGGACTCAGCTGGCCTCAGGGATCACTGAAGCATGACTGCAAGGATTATTGTTTGATGAATACCACCTAGGCCAGGGCCTCCAGAATCCTTACCTATAGCAACCAGGTGAGGCATTTCACAAACACACAAGGGAGGTCCTCCTGGTGTGGAGCAGTCTCAGGAGAGGAGAGTAGACCATCCATCTCCATCGCTGAAGCCCTCGACAGGGGTTGAGGGGGGGCGCTTTTCTCTTCGAGGGTAGTGTATTCCCAAGAACCACAGAATAAAGCGGAACTTGAATTGTGAGGAGCTCAACATTTTACCTTGTTTGGATCTCACCAGAGTGAACAGTCTGGCCTGATGCAGGAGCCAGAACTCTGGATGGGCCCCAGCTAGTCATATCTTTTCTCCTCAGCTGTGAAGGTTTCCTATCCTTCAGTTCAAAACCTGAGCGATCGTGTGCGCCCCGGATCATTACTTGCTCCGGGCTACCCCCGTGAGTACCTGACGCCCCTGGGGTTCTGGCAGATCTCCAGCTTCTCCTGGTCCTTCCCCCGCCCTCTCCACTCACCTCTCCAGCTCTGGCCTGCTCATCCACATCCTGGCAGCCATTTGCTCTCTGGCCACTAGAGGTTCTGGCCATCTACACTCCCCTCAGGGGAGTTTCTTGCTGGGTTCTTGTCCCCAGAGGGCGCCCCCTCATCTGCAGACGTGGGACAAAGGAGGCCATTTACAGCCCTGGGCTTCTTGTCTGAGAGAACTGGGCCCTTGAGCTTCCCTGGTTCCTGTCTCTGGACCTCCAGAGGACCTGCACGGAGCACTTCCTCCTGTCTGCCTCTTCTGCTGTTTGTCCTTTCCAAAGACAACGTGGTTGAGGCTCAGTCCCGACACCTGAGCCCCAGCTCCAAGCCCCTCCCGCCAGGTGCACCATTCTATTCTAGTGCCCATTTTTGGAGTCATGTGTCTTAGTCACCCTTGGAAGTGCAGGACCAGGACCAGAGGAGGTGCAGTGGACAGCCTGGCCATGGCTTACACTGCATCACCAGTCTGTTCCCTGGGGGGGAGAACTCCATCAGGCCAGCGGCTTCCGGAAATGCTAAACACAGCCTGTGTTTCTCCTGCTTCGTCCCTAGGCACCAGCATCAGCTCTGGCACCACTCAACACTCTGCCACAACGGTGGCTCGGCCGCCATCCCTGCCACCAGTGCCACAGCTACCGCCACTGATCCCAAGGGACCCGCAGGAGGCCCCTGGACCCACCAGGCACTTGAAATCTCTGCGGCTGGAGTCCCTAGCCAGCACCCAGATTGCAGAGGAGCACACCCAGCTGTGAGACACAAGCCTGTGACCCAACTACCATGGGGTCCCCTTCACTCTAAGGAAGAGACCTGGGGCCCTGGATCAGACCCAGGAAAGGGTGCAAGGACCCTGGGTATAGAGGGAAGGGTCTGCATAGGGGACCCACATATGTACCTAAAACACAAACCACACAATCCTTGGCCAACATTTTCATGAATAACACAGCTTTTGAGTGAAGGTTTTCAGAGTCAACTGAATTTCTTTCTTTCTTTCTTTTTTTTTTTTTTTTTTTGGTTTTTCGAGACAGGGTTTCTCTGTGGTTTTTTGGAGCCTGTCCTGGAACTAGCTCTTGTAGACCAGGCTGGTCTCAAACTCACAGAGAGCCTCACAGGGGGCCTCTGCCTCCCAAGTGCTGGGATTAAAGGCGTGCGCCACCACCTCCCGCCTTCAACTGAATTTGAATTTCTTAAGCACTTCCCTCTACAGCACAAAGTGGTCTTAAAACAACCCCTTTGGGTTGGCAGAGTGCTTGCCTAGCATGCACCACCGAGTTTGATACCTCTAGCACCAGAGAAGCTGGTATGGTGGTATACACTGGCAATACCAGCACTTCAGATGGAATGGCAAGAGGACCTGGCCAAGGCCACTCTCAGCTACACAGTGAGTTCATGGACAGCCTGAGATATAAGAGACCCTGTGTCAAACGACAAAAACAAAAATCCCTCTCCTTGGCATTCTGCTAAGATGTCGTCAGGATTGGCTTCTGCCTCCTTGAATCTTCTGTAGAAGCCAATAGTTCCCATGGGAAGCAAATTTCACCATGCACTATTTTTTATTTCCTGTGACCATTATTATGGTTCTTGTGTGTGAGAGGCTATAAGATGGTGTGTGTGTGGTGCGGGGGTGGGGGTGTTGCCCGTGTGTGCGCTGAGGTCAGAGGAAGATGCTGAATGTCCTATTCTTTTTTTTTTTTAATATTTATTTATTTAGTATACAATATATCCCTTCAGACCAGAAGAGGGCACCCGACCTCATTACAGATGGTTGTGAGCCACCATGTGGTTGCTGGGACTTGAACTCAGGACCTTTGGAATAGCAATGCTCTTAAAGATTTATTTATTACGTATACAACATTCTGCCTCCATGTATACCCACACGCCAGAAGAGGGCGCCAGATGGTTGTGAGCCACCATCTGGTTGCTTGAAATTGAACTCAGGACCTCTGGAAGAGCAGCCAGTGCTCTTAATCACTGAGCCATCTATCAAGCCCCGTCCTGCTCCATCTTACTCCCTTGAGACAGTCTCTCACTGAACATGGAGCTAGGCTGGTGGCCAGCCTAGAGACCCTCTATCTCTGTCCCCATCCTCCACGGCTGGGGTTACAGATATGTGCAAGGCCACACCCAGCTTTTTACATGGGCTCTAGGGATTTGAACTCAGGTCCTCATGCTTATGCAGCAAACACTCTTGTTGAGCATCTCTTCGATCTGTTTATTTTTGAGACAGGGTCTCACGTATCCTAGGCCGGCTTTGCCTTTACTCTGTAGCTGAGGATGACCTTGATCTTCTGAGCCTCTACCACCTGAGTGTTGGATTACAGGAATGTGCTACTACCCAGTTTCTGCAGTACTGGGAATCAAACCAAGGACTTTGGCATGTACTCTAGCAACTGAGCTACATCTCCAGCCCTTGAATTAATTAACTATTTACTTACTTTTTTTTTTTTTTGAGACAGGGTTTCTCTGTGTAGCCCATGCCCAGCTCACTTATATTTTTTAACTAATCCACAGAGACTGGAATACCACCCTTGGAGTAGTCCAGGACTGTGAAGTACCTTCCAAGGCTGGAGTACTGCAAACCTATTCTGAGCCTAGCAGGTTCACAGCCCATGTACTTGGTGGAAGAACAGCATACCCTGAGGTCCCATCTTCCTGTGGCGATAGTGACAAGTCTTGGGGCATAAAGTGTAGGGTGCAAGTGCAGGCCCCCCCCCCCCCACTCTCAAACTGGGTTATTCCTTCTACCGTTTCTCTCTTCAGGGCCTTGTGTCCTTTCTCTGTTCTACTGCTGAGAGTTCCACCTCACTTCACAGAGGCAGACAACTTTCCTGAACACATGGGGGCAGGCTCCTCCCCTATGAGGGCACCAGTCGGTGGGTTGAGTGGGGAGCCGAGTGGGGAGCCGGGACAAGCTGGGAGGGCACATTTTCCAGGAGAGCTGGGGGAGGGGACCTGGAAAGGAGAGCTCCAAATGCTGCCTAGGGCTGGCTGGTGTGCTAGAAGAAACCCTTGGTTTAGGCCATTGGTATGTGGGGGTGTTGTGTGCTTGTCTGTTTCCCATGCTCCCTGAGGCCAGTTTGTGGCCCCAGGTCACCCATAGCCAACTCCTTTTCTTTTTGGAAAGATGTCCAAATGAGGCTGGGGCAGTCCTAACCTAGGTAACCCACTTATCTATTCCTCCCTGGAGACCCCACCCCCATGACATAGATAGGTATTTTGGCCATTTTCTGCCCAGAATAAAATCTTACTCTACCAAGCAGTGGTGGTGGCCACCTTTAATCCCAGCATTTGGGAGGCAGAGGCAAGCAGATCTCTGAGTTTGAGCCAGCCTGCTCTACAGAGTGAGTTCCAGGACAGCCAAGGCTACATAGAGAAAGCCTGTCTCAAAAAAAAAAAAAAAGAAAGAAAAAGATAAAAGAAAGACGGGGAGACTGGAAGGGGGAGAAAGACAGACTTAATCCTTTCAACTGGTAGATGTGGAACTAGGTCTGGAGCCCTCTGTAGTCAGCAGCCTTGTCAATTTTCCTCATGGGTGGGCCTTGCTGGCCCCTTCTGGCCACTGAGGCTAGCCTTCAGTGTCTCTATCCAGAATACTCGAGGTCTGCAGAGACTCAAGCTGTTGAGCACCATGGCAGCACATCCCCTGAGCCGCTTCAATCGTGGGATGGACATGTTATGTGGCTCACAGACACAGGGTTACACAGCTCTCTGACTCATCTAGGAGGTACCACCCCCTCCTCCGCTGCAGGTTGTTGCTGGGGAAGTGGGATCTGGGCTGTGCCAACGCATGTGTCCCTGGCAAGTGGACACTTTGGAGCTTCACCTGGTCCTCAAAGAGGGCACTACTTCCCCTCACAAACTCATGTCTAGCCCAGCTGGTCATTTCAAAGTGGCCTTCTGAGACTCTCCTGAAGGTTTAGACCCTTAGTGGTCAGAAGTCGAGCTCGTTCCTGCAGTCTTGGAGAGAGGGCAAGTCCTCAATTCTGCAGGTCAGTGGCCATCCTTTTACTTTGGAACATGTTGTTGGGAACTCAACTTCAAAGACAAGCTTGACCCTAGAGTGGAGGACTTGTAGCTTGGAGACTGGGCATAGGTAGTTGCCAGGAATGTGGTCGACTCCACAACAGGGGAAGGCACTCAGAGCAGAGCCCCATCTCAAGCCTGTCTCAGCCTTTTCCTCCACATGGGGCTCACCATACCTGGACTGGGAGTGCTGTAAGACCAGACTGAATGGAGGGGTGGGGACCAACTGTCTCGGTTTGTCCGATTGGCGTAGGGCATCTCAGGATGTCAGCCTTTGAGCTTTAAGAATGAGGCGACGGCTGTGCACACCTTCATCACTGGCATTCAGGAGGTAGAGGCAGAGATGCAAGGTCAAGGCCATCCTCAGCTACTTAGAATTCAAGGTCAGCCTGGGCTGACCAACTCAAAAAAACAACAAACAAGGGACTGGAGAAGTGCTCAGTGGCTGAGAGCACTGGCTGTTCCAAATGATTCAGGTTTGATTCCCAGAATCCACATGGTGGTTCGCAGCCATCTGTAACTCCAGTTCCGGGGGATCTGAAGCCCTCTGCTAGCCTCAAGGCCTGCATGTGGTGTACATGCAGGCAAAACATGCAACCAAAAAAATAAATATTTTTTTTTTAAAGGCTGAGGCGGCTGGCATGGTGAGGGAGGGTATGCAGCTGCAGGGGGCCAGGCAGCACAAAGCGGGAGGTGTCTGCAGAGAACAGGGCCACCTGGATGTGCTGGTGAAGGGCAGGTGTTGCTCGGTGTTCCACACTGCTGGTAATGGTCACAAATATTTTCTCCATGTCAAAGATCACAAACTCATTAACCTAAGGCATAAACTACTGACAAGGTAAAAGTCTATCCTGGGGAGAGCCAGTGTTTACTAAGGCTAAGCTCTGGTGCTGGACAGAAGAGCCTTTCCAGCCCAACTCCTAGCACACAGGCTCCGCAGTGACTCCCCCAGTTCACCATACCCTAGAGGCTTTTCCTCTTCTCAACAACCTTGCCTTATCCGGTCTGTACAAGGATGACTGCAGCAGGGGTGCAGCTCTGGTGAGCAAAGCAGGACTTTTGCCACTGGTCCTCCAGCACCTTGCTTGGGGTCAGACATGGCTCTGCCATCCTGAGCCAGCTCCACCCCTCAAAAGAGCTGTTGAGATATACATTGTACCTAAACCTATGCAATAGCTACAAACGGAGGCCTTTCCAGATACAGGAACTGGAAATGGCATCCCAGTAAAAGAGCTTTGTGTTAGTCAACCAAGGAGGCCTCACCACACGAGGAGACCCCACTCAAAGGGCTCATCTGTCCTCTGCTGGGCAGGGACTGCTGTGAAAAGCCCCTTAGAGACCTCTAGGACCATAGCCAGCATTGGGTTGTTGGTGGTGTATACTCAGAGAACTGGACAGACTCTGGGGACGCTGAGCAGCCCTGGGTGCGGCCCCACCTTCAGACTCCCCGAGAAGAACAAGTCCGCTCTTCAAGGCTGTCTGAAGTCACCATGACAGCTACAGACAGCAGCGTAGACCAGCGTTCACAGCCAGTGCCCTTTGCCTCTCAGTGTCGGCTTTTCCTTCTGCAGTTGCTCTGAGTGAAAAGCAAGGTCCCTGTCAGAGGCTGGCTGATTTCAAAACAACAGCTGGAAATGGAGTTCACAGCTACTTGTGTAGCCAATGAAATGGAGGGGACCAATCCAGCAGATGTGGGCCAGGCTGTGTTCCTAGAGTGATGGCCAGTTCCCGC